AAAAGGGGCCCTGCGTGGTGGTCGGCACCCACGTGGTCAACGTGCCAGGGGTAGGGGTCACTTTTCCTTCCCCCACTCCTGTTTCACCCCCTCCAGCAGCGACGTTCGCCTGGGGGGGTTGGGCTGCGTCTGTGACCGACCCCAACCTGGCTCCGAATCCGCCGCAGTTTGGCGGACTTCCCGATTTGAAAGCGTATCGGAGATGCACCCCAAACGGTGCGAAAGAGTAGGGCGGACATTTCCGCCTCGGAAAGGTAGGGCGGATCTTTACGCAAAAGTACGGCGGAGACAGCGACGGCAAAGCATGGCGAAAGTCAGAACCAAAGGAGCTTGATACGTATGGGCGGGGATCTCCGCCCTGTTTACGAGATCGCCGGTGGATCTAGCAGTCGGGCAGGGCAAAGCCACCAGCGATAGCGAGAGGAGGATGAGGAGGAGGAGGAGCCGTGGTTTTCGAAAAAACGCCCATCTCAAATGCGTGTTGAAGCGGGTCCAACCCCCCGGCCACAATTGCTTTGCAAAGTTCGGGGTGGTCGACGCGGGGGAGTGCGAGTCGTGTCGACAAAAAACTCCGACATTTGCAAACCGCGGCGCCTGCTCCCTTAGATCAACACTGAAATTGGGGGCGCGGGGAGCGCTCTTGCGCCATCTTCTAGGCGTTGTACCTGGGCGTTTTTTTCGGAATCGCGGGTGTCTATCCAGCCAGGGTCCATCCACCATCTCATCGCTTCCGCTCGGGCTCACGCGTTGCAGTGCTCCAGGTGCAGCGTGCTCGAGGCTGCCTCCTCTCCGCCCGCGCGGGCGCGGGCTGTGTCTGGCGCTGCGGGTGGGAGCTCGCCCAGCAGCGTGCCTAAGATCAGCCACGCGCAGAGGGGGGGGGGAGGGGGGAAGGCTTCTTAGAAGCACCCCTGCTTCTTCGAAGGCGCGGGCCTTCTCTTCAGATATCTGTAGATGTAAGGCCAGCGCCTTCTAGGAAGCAGCCTCCTGAGAAGCAGCCTCCCTCCAGCGCGCCGCCAATACGAGAGGAGGAGGACGGGAAGTGGCCGTGCAGCAGGCCACGACGGGCAGGGAGCTGCACGTGGCCGTGGGCAGCAGCATCGACCTCGTGCCCACCGCCCGCCAGGACGCCGCGGCGACGAGCTCGCTGAGAGCCCCTCCTCCTCGCGCCGTCGCCGCCGTGTGGTCTTACGGTCGGTAGCTTTTGGATAGCGCGTCGCTCCGCTGGCTCTGGCACACCACGCCTCGGCGCGACAGGCGATCCACGTCCCCAGGCGTCGGAGTCTCGAGCTTTCCCGAGCCTCCCGCTCCGCGGAGCGGAACGACACGCTATCCACTCGCAGGGCATGGCGTGTCGTTGGGGCCGCCGCGGCGACACGCTAAGCAAAAGTTCTCAACCGTACCCCCCCCCCCCACCCACCACCACCACCACCCACCCACCCACACACACACCACACACACACACACACACACACACACACACACACACACACACACACACACACACACACACACACACACACACACCTCTTGGCTCTGACGTGACCTCCCGCCACGGCTCTACCTCCGCGACTGCGATGGCAGAGTTTGCCTCACGTTTGGAGGGAATTCGTGAGGAGGCCACGGTTTTCTGAGATGACGCAGCACGCGATTTGTACGGCTACGAGTTGTCATGACACATTGATGGGATGAAGCATCACACGATTTTTCATGACTACCAGCTGCACTTCTTTTTCAATCGCTTCGCACATTCCGCCGGCCTATATGTGGCATCGTTGGCTTTTGCCCGCTCGTTCGTTGCATATGTTACGCTGCTGGGCGGTGGTCGTTTTCCAGCGGCGTTACGTCAGCAGTCTTGGAGGTAGAGCAGTTCCTGTGTATTTGGTGTTGTTGGTGGGCTTTTTTGGGGTCGCAGTGGGTATGTGGCACCATCGTGAGTTGCGCTTGTCACCCATTGAGTTGGGCTTGTCACCCATGGAGTTCCGCTGTTGGGCCATTCGAGTGCTTGTTTGGGGTCCGTTTGCGGCTATGTTGGAATTTCTGGGGGGGGGCGTTGGTGTTTGTGCGAGGATGTTAGACCAGATTCGGCCCTCTCTACGACGAGTATTGCGGGATCCTGGGTCCGCCCCTATACGAGTTGAACATGCTCGGGGGGGGGTCCTCGGGAGGCCTCTCGGGACCTCTTGGCGGTATTTTGGGGGATCTCTTGGGGCCTCACGGTGGCGCCTGGGAACCTCTTGGGGGCCTCTCGGGGGGCCTCTTGGGGCTTCTTGGGCCCCTCTTGTGGGCCTCTTGGGGGCCTCTTGAGGCCTCGGGGGGAGCCGAGGGCTAGAAATATCCGTTCGGGTCCCCCATCTGAGACACCTGTTGGAGCCGTTTTGGGGGCCTCTTGGGCCGACTTGGAGGACTCTTGGGCCGTCTTGGGGCCCTGTATACGGTTTCTTGAGCCGTCATGGAGCGATCTTGGGCCGTCTTGGAGCGCCTAGAAGCCGAAAAGGCGAGAACGCCAAAATCTGTCAAAACCTATGGGGAATTCGACAAAGCTTGCCTCGAGGGGCCCTCGTGGGATCTCTCTTGGAGGCCTCTGAGGGGGTCTTGGAGGCATCTTCGGCCGTCTGGAGGCCGTCTTGGGCATCTTAGACGGATCGGTCGGCGACTCGGGGCCCTCTCGGACCGTCTTGGGGTCCTCTTGGGTTCCTCTTGGAGCGCTCTGGGGCGCCTGAAAAAGCCGCACCCACGAGGAAAACCATCGAGGAGGAGGAGGAGGAGGAGGAGGAGGAGGAGGAGGAGGAGGAGGAGGAGGAGGAGGAGGAGGAGGAGGAGGAGCAGGGGGAGGATTCCAGAAAGGGCCTGGCCTTCGAGGACTGGAGGAGTTGCCTCTTTTTCCTCGGCGGAAGACGGCTCAGGTAGAACAAGGGCGGCTCCGCCGGCGGAAGCCGGCGGAAGCAAAAGTACGAAGAGATGGCACGTTTTTGGGGCTCAGGGTGTCCTGAGCCCGCCAGTTCGCATCGCGAAGGGGCCCACTCAACCCATTTCTCACCCATCTCCACCCCAGCGGCGGCGTCCCTCCTTCCTTCCCCACGTCCTCCGCCACCACATCTAGGGGGACAAACAATGACATAAATATAAAAACGCTGAGGTCCGCTCGGATTTCTCGGATTGGCGCTGGAACCCGCTGGCGGCGCCTCCGGCGCCGCTTCAGGCGCGCTCCGCGCGCCAGGGAGGGGGGCCCAGCGCCGATGCGAGAAATCCATGCGGACCTCCGAGTTTTTATGTTTATGCCATTGTTTGTCCCCCTGTCCCCCCCCGTTCTCCGACACCTCTGCCAGCTTGCACTGCGGTGCCGACACGGACCAGGAAAAATAATCGCGGGGCGGACACCTTCTGAAGGGGCCACGGCCCCGCCGCCGACCTCCTGAGGAGGGGGCGCCCCGGGCGCAGGCGCGGAACGGCATCGGCGCTCGCCTCGCCTCGCCTCGTCCTCCCCGTTATGCAGCGCGCCCCTCTGCGCACCATGCCTTCTCAGGCCCGGCGCCATTACCATTCGCGTTTCAGGCCTTGGGCCCGCCTCCTCTCTGACCGCGCCGTCCGCCCTCGTGCTGCCCGGACTGGGCAACCCCCCCGACGTGCAGTCTCAACATTACCGCTCCCAGTCGCATCGCTGCACCCTCACCACTCATCCCTTCCCGCAAGCCCGCCTGCCCCCCCATCGCAACGAGGGACCCGGGTGCTGAGGGAAACGGGTTCCTGCGGTTTTTTGCCCGTTTGAGGGCTCCTGCCCCCCCCCCCCCTGGAGCCCGAAGACCATCAGAAAACGTGACGAAAAGCTGGCTCCGGGGTCCAGGACCCGTCTTCCTCAGGACCTGTCTTTTTCATGCCAGTTTGCCCCCTCCCCGCCCTTCCCCCTATACCCCTTCCCCGCCCTTCCCCCTATTCCCCTTCCCCGCCCTTCCTCCTGCCCCCTCCACCCCCGTCCTCATTCACCTTCCCCGCTCCCCGCCCTTCCCCCTTACCCCTTACCCCCCTCCCCTTCACCTTTCTCCCGCCCCCCGCACGTGCCTCTCCCCTTCCCTTTCTCACCCTGCCTGCTCTCCGCGCCAGGGGGGGTCGCCGGCCAGCGCAGACCCCCGGCGTCGCGTCTTGACTCACACCCGTGGGCCCAGCCCCCAGAGATCCCGCGACCCGCCGTGCGCACCCTGCGCACCGCGGCCGCCAGTCGGCGGCGAGCGAGGGGGTGAAGTGAGAAGGGGCGGGGGCCCAAACAGTGCCGGTACTCCCTGGGGCACCCTCCTCGTGCCTCCGACGGAGGATGACTGCAGGCCCCGGCCCGGGGGTGCCCGTGATCCCTGGGGATCCCTCCTCGCATTCTCGGGCGGTTATCGCTCGAAGCTGGGTGATTCCACGCTGTTCTTGACGGTCCTGGGGGCCAGGCCAGCAAAGAGCGCCCAGGCGCCGAAAATGTCCAACAGGGCTCGGCCGTGATGATAGTAACAACTTTAGTGTGGTATGTGCTGGGGAAGAAGGAGAGTGGCCGCACAACTGCAAATGTTTGTGCTCAAGCTTTTATGTGGCATGCAAGCCGCCGCCACGCGATTCCTCTCGGATATCTCGCGCGGCGCCTCGCAGGCCTTGGTGGTCTGGTCTGCCACGTCGGGACCGCCTCCTGCTTGCCCATCTTGCTCGTGCGACTGTTCGCCGACGTACAGCATCACGTGTCCCAGCATCGACAGCCCGCACGCTCTGCAGGTGGTCACCGCTTGGGGCAGCCACACTGTGTTCTTCTTCTTCTTCGGCCTTCTCGTGGGCGTCGTCGTGGTCCCCGTGTTCTGGGATTGGAGAGCTCAGGCCGCTGGGGGCCACGGGCAGGTCGTGCCCAAGCCGCCCCCTGTGACAGCTACGCCCACCACTCCGTCGGCCGAGGAGATCCGTGCCCTCGCCTCACAGCAGGCGCGGGCAGCCATTCAGAATGCCGTTGCCAGGTGAAGTGCATGCCGTTCGATATCGAGTGGGAGGGCCTGCTGCGTATCATGAGCGGATCACCCTGATTGACGTGCCTCCTGGAGCGGCTTTGGTCCTCACGGCAGATAGAGATTTTTATGAGGAGACGACTGTGGTGGACGCGGACGTTCAGGAGGTTCGCCCGCTCAGGGGTCTCGGCGCTCCGCTCTTCGGCATCGCCGAGGCCAACACGTACAGGTTCGTGGACATCCCGAACGCGGCCACCACGTGGGCCCACCTGCGCGCCGCGGCGGGGCTGCTCGGCGCGCCGATGCCCCCGACGCCTTTCGCCGTGGTGGGAGGCGTGGGCGCGGGCGCGGCATGGGTGCCGCAGCGCGTGCAGGTGGACGACCCTGCCCGCGCTGTCGCGGTCGTGGCAGCCGCAGGGGCAGGGGTTGGCGCCGCGGGTGCTGGAGCGGCCGCCCCCGCCGCTGGCGGCGCCGCCGCGGGCCCTGGCGGTGTTGGGGCCCTGGCGGCCGCCCTCGGGGTGGCCCTGCCGCCGCCGCCGGCTCCCGCGGCGGCGCCCGCCGCTGGCGCTGGCGCGCTCGGCGCCGCCGCGCCCCTGGCAGCTGCCCCAGGCGCGGCCGCGCCTGACTGCCGTGTGCCGTGTGCACGAGCTGGTGCTGGACGCCTCTGGCCGTCGGGCGCTCGACTTCACGGCCGCCACCCTCCAGACTTCGTCGACGCCGCAGGCGGACTGGCCGATCAAGGGGCCGCGCACCACCCAGTGGTACCTGGATCACATGCGCAGGAATGCTGGCGGCCCGTTGGCTTGGCATTCGGAGTGGAAGGCGGAGGCTGGTTTGCGCGATTCTGATCCATTTGCCAGCAGCACGAGATGAATTGCAGGCTGCTCGAGATCGGGAGCTGTTAATATCAGGTCAACTGTTCGGAGCTCGCAGCGTTCGGGCTCATATGCCGCCATATCCAGCTCATTGAGGAGAGGCACTACGAGGACGCGATCTCCGCCCAGGTCGCTGCCGAGGACAAGCGATCGGGCAAGGACATGAAGGCCTCCACCACCAGCGAGAGTTTGCTGGCGGCCGAGGCGGACCACTACATGGGAGCGTCGGCGAGCAAGGGCAACCTCTGCATCGCCCCAGCTCTCACCGAGTTCATTGCTGAGCAGCTGAAGGCGGAGGCTGCCATCGCCAAGGAGAAGCGCAAAGCCCGCGAGGAGCGGCCGGCGCGCGCATAGCCATGCGAAGCTTCTCCCAGGCGGGTGCAGGCACCTCGGTGCCGCCTGGGCGAGACCTACAATTTCGTGGCGGCCTCTGCCTCCGCCCGTTTTGTTGCGCGATGGGCCCTGGAGCTCGACGGCGCGACGCGTTCCCTCTCCCTGCCTTGGCGGTGGACTCTCGCGCGGGAGCTTGCCGCGGCCGGCGGGGGCGCCAGCGCGCCCAGCGCGGGGCGGCTTGGAGGCGATGGGCGAACGACGGCACCGCCGCCCTGAACCAGCTGAGCGGCCACTCGTCTCCTGCGCCTCACCGCCTGGGTTGGTGGCCTCGGCGGCGCAGGCGAGCGCGATGGATCGCATCTCTCGGGCCTATCAAAATTTTCTCCGTCCTCCGGGATATCTGGGGGATCATCGTTCTGGCGAAGCAGCCTTGACAGAGTTGCTCGCGTCGGCACCTGGCTACTCCGCGGAGGCCCAGCGCGTCAAGCCCCACAACAAGGACCTTGTGTCCTGGCCTGATCTCGCAACGCAGCCAGTCGAAGTCGCTGATCTCGTTGGAGAGGCCGAGCGCGAATGTTTGTCGGGCTGGAGACGGACCACGTTCAAAGGTGAGTCGTCTGCTTCGGTCCCGAGAGCGGCGTCAGCGCCGCAGCGTCCATGCGTCGACCCGATTTTTGGCCAACAGCCCCAAAGCCCACGCTGGCTTCGTCGGGAAGTTGCGGCAGGGTGGCATGATCAGTTTCCGCGTGGCACGTGCCACTGGTCCTAATAGCTTGGGGTTGTTCTTCGTTGAGAAAGTTGGCAATGGCACGCTGCGCCTCATCTTCGACGCGCGGGTGGCGAACGAGGCATTCGCGGCGCCGCCCAAGACCGCGCTGCCCACGGCGGCCGCGCGGGCCGCTCTGGAGTCCGAGCATCCCGCGGCGCTGGCCCAGGGCGACACCCTGTGCGCAATTTACCACATGCTCGTGCCCAAGGGCACGGAGGAGCTCTTCGCGCTCCCTACTATCTCCAACCGCCTGCTGAATATCAAGCAGATCGACGGGCTGCCCGTGCCTCCTGACTGCACCCTCCAGCCGATGGTGCGCGCCTTGCCGATGGGCTGGAGCTGGTCGCTTTTGTTCTGCCAGAGTATCATGCGCGTGGGCCCTCGTGCATTACGGCTTCGGCGACGGTGACCTCGTCGAGGGCGGCCGCCCGAGCCCCGCCCTCCTGGCGAAAGGCAGCGTGGCTGCAGCCGGCTACGTGGACAACTTCGCCATCGTCGGCGGCGGTGCGGAGATCGTCGCCGCGAGGGGGGGCCAGGTCACCAGGACGTTGGAGGCTTGGGGGCTTCCAGTTCACTCGATCGACGTCGCCTCCTCCGTTTCTGTTTCCGCGGGCCTCGAGATCAACGGCGACCTCGGGGCCGCGAGGGTGGAGCCGCCCAGCGCGATGCGGCTTCGGCAGGCGTTCCTTGCCGTCTTGCGGCGGGGGGCCGCTTCGCCTCGCATGCTTGATGTTCTGTTGGGGCACATCACGTGGGCAATGATTTGCAAAAGGGAGACCTTCTCCATTCTGTCGTCCGTCTACGCGTTCTAGTCCTTGAAGGATCCTGGCGTTAGGCCCGTATGGGGCTCAGTCAAATTCGAGCTTTGGTGCGTCGCTAGCAGTTTGCCGCTCTGGGCTTCGCGCGTGAACATCCCCTGGGACTCGCGCGCCTCGGCCTCGGACGCCTCTCCGGTCGGCGCCGGCGCGTGCCCTCGCTGGCTTGAGGGGCCCCGAGTGGCCGAGATTGGGAGGCAGGCGGAGAGGTGGCGTTATCGATGCACTGGTGTCTGCAAGAGCTAATGCACTGGGTCTCGATGGGGCCCCCGACGTCTCGGATCACTTGGAGGACCTCGCCGCGTCCGACCCGGTGGGCTTCAACGCGGGCTTCTGCGAGATCCCCGAGGAGCTCATGCAGGCCTCGTCGTGGGCCACCGTCATCTCCAGGTGGCACTGGAACCCCTTGAAGAACATTTTGGAGCATGAAGGCGATGCGCTGCACGACGCTGTTCGGCATGCTACTCGTAACGGTTCGCTCCACTACCACGGTCATTTGTTCTCGTCGACAATGTACCTCTGGCTCTGGCTGCTGGCGACGGGCGGGGCCGCAGGCCGACCCTTCGGCGGCCCTTGCGAAGGATCGCGGCCCTCGCACCCGCTACCAGCCTTCAGCGTTATGTACGCTGGCTGCCATCGGAGCTGAACGCAGCCGGCTGGCCGTCTCACCATGGCTTCTTCCACGGCGAAGGCATCGAGGAGGCGCGCCGCGCCGCAGCGGGCCGCGCCCTCCTTGAAGCAGCCGGCCTTGACGATCGTGGCGGCTCAGGCCCCGAGCCATCCCCGCGCGGAGGAGCTGGCCGCGGGGGCCATCAGCTTCCTCGGGGATTCCGCCGTCACGGATGCGACGAGAGCTCGGTGCCGCAGCCATGCTCGACGATTCCTGGAGTGGCTGGGGTGGCACGAGCGCGACTTGTCACGGCCGGCCAGCGGGACACGGTGCCGGTGTCCTTCCTGACGGACTTGGCCCTGGACGGTTTCGACGCGGCGACGGGGGGGTTGACGATCGCGGCGCCGCGGCACTTCCTGCCCCACATCCTCAGCGGGAAGCGCCCGCTTCTCCGAGCGGCGCGGGCCCTCAATGGTTGGCGCAGTTTGTCTCCACCGCAGATGCGCCTGCCACTGCCGCGCTCGGCGGCGATGGCGGTTGCGGGCTGGCTCATTTGGATGAACTTGCCCAGCATGGCCGTATTCGTGGCGCTGGTCTTCCGCGCGTGCCTCAGGCCGTCGGAGGCCTACCGGTTGCGCGTGGGCTCGCCGGCGCCGCCGACTTCTGGGTCAGGCCTCAGCACTTGTCCTCGTCGTGAACGATGCAAAGTCGGGCCGTCCTGGCAAGACGGGCGTGACGGGCGAGTCGGTCCTGGCGGGCGCCCCCGCGTTCTGGCCCGCGCGGCGCGCGCTGGCGCTCAACGCGCCTGCAGGCACCAGCCCCTGGAACTTCAAGCCCGCCGACGTACGCTTGACGGTCAGCCAGGCCCTGATGGAGCTGGAGCTGCAGAAGGAGCCCCCGTCCTTGTACACCCTCCGCCATGGGAGGGCCTCGCGCGACTTGCTCTCGGGGGCTCGCTCGATAGCGGAAGTGAAGGAGAGGGGGAGATGGATGTTGGACAAGTTGTTAAGAAGGTACGGGAAACGGACGCGCATGCAGCAGCGGATCAGGGACCTTCCGACACAGGCCGCACAGTTCGGCGATCAGGTATTCGCGAGGCTGTCGGAGCTGATCGAGCCCACGTGCGTGAAGGGCTCCTTCCCGCTGGCGGTCCCGTTGCGCGCCGTGCCCGTCGCGCCTGTGGCCGTGAAGCGCGCGCCTGTTCTGACCAGAAGGTAGCTTCTCGTATGAGCTCGGCTTTTCGAAGTGCCCATGCGCGGGCGCCTCGCTGCCGTCGGCTTGTTCTGCCAGTGGTCGGGCCCCACGGGGCCCCCATTTGCAAGGCGTTGCGCCGACGCGGTCTGGGTTGTCCCACGCTTGGCGCAGATCGGAATGTGGGTCTCGGTCTGACTGAGCGGGCGGTCGTCGATCGACTCCTCGGGTGGATTCGACCGTCGGCTGTCTGTGCCTGCTGGCTCTCCCTGCCGAGAGGGTCCTGGATCGAGTCTGGGTCCCCTCCTGTCCGCAGTCCGTCTGGTCCGTGGGGTCGGGCCGCGCGCGCTAGCCTTCGGTCAAAACTTCCGACCTTCTGGCCTGGCAATGTCGAAATTCGGGCGGCTCTCACCATTATTCGAGCTTGTATCGAGCACGCTCTGCCCGTCCGTCTTGAACACCCGAGGGCCAGCCACATTTTTGCCTTGCCTGAGTTTCGATCACTGGTGAATATCCCGTCGTTTAATCAAATCGACTTGGACTTTTGCCTGTGCGGATCGTCCACCCGCTCGGCCACACGAATATTGAGCTGGCACTGCCCGCAGCTCCAGCGTCTCAATGTTTGTTGCAATCCGCATCGCTCTGTGTGCTCTTTCTCGGGGCGACTTCATTTACAAATCAACGGCCGCACGGCCAGGGGCGTGGCTTGCCGACATAAAGCCGCGCGCTTCCCCGCCAGAACCGCCGAGCTTGGTGCCGATTCCCTCGTCAGTGCTATTGAAGATTTGCTTCGGTCAAGAATGTATAGTCTTGTCGGCCTTCGGCCATGATGTTGTGATACACAATGTACGTATGTGCTGCCTGCGTGTGTCTGCCGTCACTCTTGGAGACGAGGCATCGCTTCCTGCCGCTGCCACCGTCAGTTTTTTAATAAAAAATGGCCACGGCAACCCTCCTCGGCATTATTGTCACGGCGCTTGGGGATGTCCAGGGGTCGGGAAGGATGATGATGATGATGATGAGGAGGAGGAGGAGGCCGGAAGCATCGGCCCGCAGGCCCGCCCTTGGGTGCGCCTTTGGCCAGAGTCTCGAGGCGGATCCAGCCGCTGCCCACGGGCAGCTTCCGGGGGGCCCAAAAAGCTGACCAGCACGTCTACGAAGGCCTCGGGTCCTCCTTGAGCCTCGAGGCGGATCTGGCCGTGGCCGTGGCCTCGAGGGGCCCCCAGGAGCACAAGCACGTCCACTACGGCCTCGACCCCTCGAACCTCGAGGCGGATCCAGCCGTGGCCACGGGCAGCTCCCCGAGGGCCCCCAAAAATGCCCAGACACGTGTCCATGAAGGCCTCGATCCCTCGAACTTCGATTCAGCGAACACAGGGGCACTGGCCACTCCTCCTCCTCGTCCTCCTCCTCCTCCTCATCATCATCGTCCTCTTCCTCCTCCTCCTCCTCCTCCTCCTCCTCCTCGTTCTCGTCCTCCTCCTCGTTCTCCTCCTCCTCTTCCTCCTCCTCCTCCTTTTCCCTCCTCCTCCTGAACGATCAACGGCTGCCTAACCTCGTATGACCACAGATTAGCTCGAAGAGCTCGCTCAGCGATATACATCAACCAGGTCACGTAATATTCCAGGGGCACCGCAATCGGCCAGGGATACACGGCTGCAGTTTCCCTGGGCGTGCCACGTGCCAGCGTCTTGGTGTAACAAAATCCCCGTTCACGTTGATTGCGGATCCGCCGTTTCTTTTGGGCGATTTCGCAAGTAGGCGTGAACTTCCGCCTCTTTTCTCAAGCTCTGTTGATCACGACGACCGCCCTGCTTTGCCGTCGTTGTTTCCGCCATACATTTTTGTGCACAGATATCCGCCCCTCCTCTCGCGGAAACATGTCCGCCCTATTGTTCCGCATCGGTTGGGGCGCATTTCCGCCACAATTTGAAGTCGGAGAGTCGACCCAAATATATGGCGGATCAGGAGTATAAGATCGAGGTCGGTTCGGGGAGGATGCCCTGATATCCTTCATGTTGTTTGGGTGTTCTTGTGAATCCGGGGGGAGGGTGCCCTCGCATGGTCTGTGTGTGTTTTGGCGGGCGGAATGCCTCATGCTCTTGAGGGATGATCTTCTGGGTTAGGTCCGGCCGCAGGGCGGATCCAGGGGGCTCAGCAGAATGAGGATACGAGGAGGGAGGAGGGAGGAGGAGGAGGGAGGGGGGAGGAGGAGGAGGAGGGAGGAGGGGGGAGGAGGAGGAGGAGGAGGAGGAGGAGGAGGAGGAGGAGGAGTAGGAGGAAGAGGAGGAGGAGGAGGAGGAGGAGGAGGAGGAGAAGGGAGGAGGAGGAGCGAGCGAGCGAGCGAGCAGACGTCGAGAGGCAGTCGGTTCAGGAGGGCGCTAACAGTCCCAGCACGCCCGTCTCAGCCGCTGCTTGCCCCGAAGCCCAAGGGCGGAGAGGGGGCAGACAGCTGGCCGAGGTGGGGAGCCAGGGCCGAAAGCACGCAGCACGGCGGCCTCGGCGGCCGCAGCAAGACGGGCTTGGAAGGGCAGGCTCACCAGCGTAGCGTGCCCTTGGAGACGACGCCGAGGAGGCACGCGCCGAGCAGGTCAAACCCTGCGAACTCCAAGGGTATCGATCGTCACTCCCAGAGCTCGTCGTCGGACTCTGGGTCGGTGGTGGTCCCAAAGACCACCAGGTCGTCGTATGAAAGCCCGTAGTCACGCAGCAGGGCACCAGTGTCCAGCAATCTCGATGCATTCACTCGTCCCCGCTTGCTTCTGGGCATATGTAGCTCGATTCCAGCTGCAGGGTCAGACCAGTGTTTGGCCCTGCGCAAGAACCTTCGCGATGCAGCTGACGGGCTGTTCGCCTCCTATCTCAAGCTTCACGTGGCTTTTGCATGCTTGCGGGTGCCGCAGGTTCGAGAAATGTTAGGTGTTCTCCGAAATGCGTCCAGAT